TTTCGTTATAGAAAGTCATAAATTTCGTGTATAACCAAACTTCATGGTTGACTTTTGTCGACCATCATCATTGCCGGGCAATAATACACTAGGCTCTGGTAATTCACCAACTTCGAACACGAACCCGAGTTCAAACTTGGATAAAGAGGCCAATTCAAAATATTTCCCGTCTGTATTTGTAAGTGCAAAGTTTCGAGTTCAAAAACTGAGAACACAATTTCGTATGTCTTTCACTGAGGAGAAAACTGCAAGGGATTCCAATTGGAATTGCAGATATGTTCGTACAGTTTCTAATGAAATTCTAATCGAAATAAAACAAATAAATCAACATGTTGAAATTCTTGCTTTCACTATTCATTCTTTTAGCTTCCTTATTCGCATTTGATTGATTCTGACAGACAAGACTCGCTCACAGCAGCAGCAGTAGTAGCAGCAACAGCTACTGCAGCTGCCGCATCGACAGCTATGGAACAAACACGTCTTGAAGAGGAAAAACTACGTGTTCAAGCGAAAGATAAAAAAGATCAAAGTAACTAGTTGCAGTTTTCCTTACGCATCTTTGTCTTTATATCAACGTTCCAGGTGCCAATGCCTCGGCTGAAGTGAAAACTCATCTGAAAAGTTTCCTGCATAAAAAATTACAAAAGCAAGGCAAACTAGAGTAAGACGCAGTGCGCGATAAGAAAATGAAAGTGGCTTTTGTCATTATTGTTTAGAAATCAAGATTCCATGGAAATGCTTCGTCGATTTCAATCAGAACCAGTCCTGGCTAATCCGCGACTTGAATCGGGCAATTTCAAAATCAAATCAGATCTACGTCAAAGTATTCTCTATCGTCATAAACAAGTTACTCCGATGTCAGATAAACGTCATCCGATCCGTTCAACAAATCTAGCTCAAAACCAGCAGCCAGCTGGTAAAATGAAACAACGCGTTTCCATCTCGCTCATTAAAAAATTGTCTTTTGCTTTTCTTAGTACCAACAATTCCGTTACTACCATTTACTTCCCAATTGGCTCAAATACCCTTGCCTGAACATTTATGGTTGGGCTTGCCGCCACGCGCACTTTATGGATGTTATTCAACTGGCAATCTGGGAGAGAACGGCCACTTGAATCCTTTGACAACAACATCTCGTGAAAATCATCAGCATACAAATATTCTGGGTCCGAAACATTTCATTGTCGAAGAAGAAAACGAAGCACTGCTAGCGAAGGAATTACAAGAAGCAAAAATTCAAAGCACACACAATAGTCTAAGTTCAATGCATAGTAGTCAACCCCATTTAGTCAATTTTGAAACAAACGATTTTTGCCTTCGAAATCCAAACGTAAGAGAAAACAATTGTCAATGATTAGTTCATATTTAATCAACAATTGCCTTTCTTTAGTTACTAATCGATCGACTTGCGTTACATTCCAAATCATTATCCTCTCTATCAGCAATACCATCGCCAGTAGAGAAGAAAGTACAAAAATGTCTCTCTGGTAGCATCAAACTTCGTTTTACTACCGGTAAAGTCTTCTCTTCTCACATCTACATGTTCCACACGAATCGTTTTTAATTTAGGTATCGCTTATGACGACGATACACTAAAACATGAATGTTACTGTAAACGTACAGATCTTCATTTGGAAAATCCACGTCGTCTGTTGGTTATTTACGATCGATTGAAAAAGTCAAATCTATTAGACGACTGTGAAATCATTCGTGGTTATTGTGCAACCATCGATATGCTAACGGATTGTCACGAGTAAGCATTCTTTTCTCCGACTCTCATGTACGTACTTGTTTAAGAGAAAAACAAAGTAGAGTAACGTGATTCAGTATGAGATCTGCATATTTAATTGAGGTGAAATTATACAGTAGAGGAAAAAAGCTTTTTAATTAGCATACAGAACGAAAGCATAGCTAACTATGTAACAGAATAGTAAAGTTATATTTCGTAAAGATTGATCGTGATCATAGAACAACAGAAAACGATGTTCTATAAGTCAATGCCTTTACGCTACTAGTGACACTAGCAATGTACCAAGAAATTGTAGCATTTACATGAGAATGTCAGTTGACAAGGACTTAATTTTAAACAGACACATGCGATTAGATATAGACATAATGGATTAGTTCGAAAGTATTATATATTTAAAGTTTGCAGCTGTCAAGAGTAGAGTCATTTTCCTGTGCAGCTCAATTTTGACTTAAGCAAAACATTTGGTTTATGTTCGTAGTCCTGGACATGTCTATCTGTTTGGATGTGATCAACGACAACGTATTCAACAATCAGCAGCTATATTAACTGAACGTTTAAATTCGATTGTTCCATTACCTTGCGGTGGTTTCGGTATCCATGATGATACCGATACAATCTGGAATGATGAATATACAGCGCGAGCATGCCGGTTGGCAGTTGGAAATACGATTGAATTAACGAAGCATGTCATAGATGGCAAATTGAAAAATGGTTTCGCACTTGTACGACCACCTGGCCATCATGCTACACAGAAGCCATTGGGTTTTTGTTACTTCAATACCGTTGCCATAACAGCTAAATATCTGAAAAAACATCGAAATCTTGAGCGAATCGCCATTGTTGATTGGGATATTCATCATGGTAATGGTACACAAGATTTGACTTATGATGATTCGAACATTCTCTACATATCGCTACATCGATATGATAACGGAACATACTTTCCCGGTGGTGGCCGAATAGAAGAAGTAAGATCAACTATACTGATTGGAATGTTTCTAATTGCCTTTTTTTTCTTTCATAGTGCGGATGTGATGATGGTCTAGGCAAAAATGTAAATATTGCCTTCTCCGGTGAATCCCAACCAGTAATGACCGATGTAGAATATCTAGCAGCATTTCGGTACGTGAAAATTTTTCGTCTCGCGTTATGCTAGCATATCGATTGATCCATTTTTCGTGTTTTGCAGAAGCGTTGTCATACCAATCTTAAAACAATTTCAACCTGAAATGATACTCGTCTCCTGTGGCTTTGATGCATGCATGGGGCATCCTCATCCACTCGGTGGCTACGAATTAACACCGACATGTAATGATGACCTTCCTCCGGATGCGAAACAAACACTTTTTTCTCTTTCAATTTTCAGGTTTTGCTTATATGACAAAAGAACTAATGAACTTTTCGAATGGAAAAGTCGTTCTGGTTTTAGAAGGTGGTTATGAATTAAATGCACTGGCTGAATGTGGAAAATTATGTATTGAAGCATTACTTAATCGACAAGTAACATTCTTTTCATTCTCGCAGATTCTTTTCGAATATTTCGTTCGTTCGTGCTCTGTAGATTCCAGCATTCAGCAAAGAAACGCTTGAAACAAAACCGAATCCATACGCTGTACGCAGTCTAAAACAGGTCATCGAAGTACAACGTATGTTACTGAGTACTTTTTCTTTCTTGCGAAGTAATGAATCATTGTGTTTCTCCTTCTTTCTCAAGGCGAATTTTGGCCATTACTCGATGAATACAAACATTTGGTATCGATGTCACATGGCAAGGCTACGGAATTATGATTTTCCTAAGATTTCATCGTTCATGCATATTACGCGAGAAAATCGGTTGCATCCTGTGTCGTTTCTTTGCTTAATAATGATGACTATATGTCCAATAAATCTATTCCCTAGTTCACGCACTTTGTCGAGTATCTCATGGTGTTCTTTACCGGTGATGTGTAAGACTTATTGCTTCGTGTTTTTATGTTATATATATGTAATAAGGCTTATTTTGAAATAACTGCTAAGCAGTTAGTTTAATTTGATTTGCCTTGGAACCATAGCCATAACAAAGAATAAACTCCCTCGATGTAGCCAGATTATGTTCTTCTTCCTTTTTATTTTTCTTCGTTTTCTTTTCTTTCTTCTTTCGATGTCTATCACTGTTTGTTTGTTTGTTTGTTTTTCAAGCTGATATTTTTCTTTTCCTCTGTCTCTTTTTTGCTGGTAATATATACATATATATATTTTTCTCCTGTGTTTTCGAGTTTCTCAATATCGCTCAACTTGTTTCGTATATTATGTAATTGTGTTCTCTTCTGTTTTCGCATATGTACATGCTTTATCACAATTGCAATTTATCTATGAAATATAGATGAGTTAAGCAAATTTGAAACCGACGACTCTGATACACATACTGGATGAAAGAGAGCCGAACGCGAAGAGTCCGAAGATCTTTCGATAGAGAATGAAGCTTGTTTTTCAAAATTATCTGTTGTTATTATTCGTAATCAGAGATGTAATGCAATATTGATCAGAACGTGGCAATAAGAACAGTATCGCATTTATAAAATTACGCAGTAAATGAAATTTTCTTTGCCCGAAAGAGAAATGACATCTTGTCATTGTTTGCATCTCAGGTACATTGAAAGTACCCAGAAAAATTGAGAATATTTCCTTGACGGTTATCTGACACACTTTAAATATGAGAAATGCCGTATGCATGGTATTCCTTCTCAGTAATATCGTATTGCAATGTCCGATCTAATAAGAAATAGATGAGTATGTTTCATATCGGCTCGTGTTTTCTCGTCAAGAGAAGATATTTTAAATCGCTGCAATTTTCGACATTCATCGAAATCGTTTGAGTCAGACAAAACCATGTCTCGCACACAGAGACATACGACGATAAGCGACAAAAACAATGTCATGTACGATTTCCGTTTTCATCTATGTAAGTTCGTCGTTTTCATACATGCAGTCGTTTACAGGTACACGCGAACTTCATGATTACCTATAATCAACAAAAATTTGTTATTTAACTGCCATCACTTCCACTTCCAGCTGTTACTACGAACAGTTAATGACAGATGTCTTACAAAGTGGAACAAAAGTGATTGATACAAATAACTTTGACTTGCCGAACAGAAATCGTTTCAAGTATTCTGTTTATTTATCTATAATAAAAAAGACCATAAAATGCGATGGATTCGATCGATCTGCATGTTTTGATTGATCACGTTAAAGAATGCAAAATATGTATTTAAGGTTTTTTGACAGCCGGTGGAGTGTTACTGTACGTTTGTGAGAGCCGTTTCTGTCGGATTTCCATTTGAGTTTCAATATTAAGACTTGAGCGATGTATCGGAGCGTTTGGATTACGTATAGATGAATTTCGACGAACGGCTTTTGAACCTGACAAAGGTAGAAGTGGTGCATTTTTCACTAAAATGAAAATCTGATGAACGAAAAGAAAGATTTCGTTGTCAAACATACTTTGATCTGTTTTGTTCTCCTCCTCATCTTCTGCTTGCCACATTTTGTAGCATATTCGTATCAATTTTATCAGTGCAACGAGTAAACCTAGCGCAACTGCGACGATACCAATACCAACTAAAATATTTGTAATTGATGAATCTTCATTTGGTCCTAAAAGTGAATTGACACAATCGTGTAGATCTACTCTTCGTATTGATTTCTGAAAATTACTTTTCGAAAACGTTTTTGTCAAATTACCAGTTCCGTTTACATTTGTCGTCTCCGTAATGTTCAATGATACGAAAACAACAGACATCGCGTCGGACTCATCATCTGATGAACTCATTTTACACTTGTACTTTTAAAAACACATCGAAACGTGCGTTCTTTTTTTAATCTTTCATTAACTACTTTCCTCTGACAACAACAACAACAACACTATCGCCATAATGGTTGTTTTTTCTATCGATTCTACCCTTATTTTCAAGCAATACAAGAAATAACGCACAACACGACCTTCAACGTCATTCGAGTTGTATTACTCATCTCATGGAATAACAATACGTGAAAGAAAGAAAGAAAGGAAAAAAAAACGGCAACGATAACGTTACGAAACAACTTCAGAATGAAGTCTAGTCTACTCTTCTTAACTCACCGTATGGTAGATTATCTTTCAGACGTGAATAATACGACCGATCGTTCGATAGATCTGCTTCATTTACGGTAGGTTCAATGTCGATGACCAGATATGTTCTTCGAAATTTATAGGTTATTGAAGTGTTGTGAGTTATAGCCTTCGAAGAACATTGATGTTGATGCTGTTGTTCTACAGTGATCATGTTTCGAATGTAGCTGAGAGTAAAAAGTTGTATACGAGTGTACAATAGTAAATACATTACTTGTTTACCTGTAAAGAACAGCTCGAACAACGGATGATTGAAGTTATGTAAATCTAGAAATGATAAATGTAAAGCGATTGACTTCTTTTTATTACAAAGTGCTCTTCGTATTGGAAATGTTTCTCGAGTTGTGGAAAGAGAAAGCGTATGAAATCGGCTCTACTGGGTATTTTCAAAAGAATGATTGATTGAAGAAGAATAATAAATGAAAGAGATATAGGTTCTTAAAAAATTAGTCTGAGAAAGTTAAATCTTAGATAAACGACTATTTAACAGAAGTTGATGCAGAAATATAACACTGTTATGCACTTATTCAAGGAAACTTACGCGTTCTGTCACTCATAATTTCAAAATTCCCAAGTGATCATGAACTTCACCATACCAGATGAGTCTCGTTTGGTTCGTATAATCCTTCCGTAAGCGATTCGACAATAGACGACACTTGGATAAAGCCTTTTGCTTGCAGTTTTATTCCAAATCAATATTTGCGTCTCTTGCGTCAACAACGATAAATCAATTCAAGTATTTTACAATCGAGTGGAGTTCTTCTCTTCGAATTTACGCCAAACACACTCCTGCACGCAATATGCAAATAATTACTGATTGATAATCGATCCGTTTATTAAAGCTGCCTTGTCTCATAGGACAAGTGAAACAAGTTTCGAATGGATTCAGTCGTAGAACGAACAAACACTAGCGAGAAAATCAATATTAAAAGCCGAGTTTTTTACAAAATATTCTTAGGAAATAGGAAAATCAAAGGCTAATGCGACGGAGATGGAAATCCGAGAGTATAGTATCATGTTTGTCAGCAAAAGCGATTTTTTTAAGACAAGAATTTTCCACCGTTCATTTTCATTCTCGATTATTTATCGGATATGTAACTAATTGCTATGCCTTTATCACAGCGTAAGCTAACCATCATCTTTGGTATTTTAGCTACGGTGACAGTCGCCGTAGTCATACTTTTGATTCCAGTCTATATGAGGAGTAGACGTAACAACATACCAAGTGAAACTACATTATCAGCAACTACAAGTACAAGTACAAGTACTGCTGAGGCAACTACAAGTACAAGTACAAGTATTGCTGAGGCAGCTACAAGTACAAGTACAAGTACAAGTACAAGTACTGCTGAGGCAACTACAAGTACAAGTACAAGTATTGCTGAGGCAGCTACAAGTACAAGTACTGCTGAGGCAACTACTGATCCTAATTTGACTATGTTCAACAAGATTACCACAGCGAATGGAATTTCCTCACTAGCGAATCTGTTGACGACGAAACTAGTCACTAGGAAAAGTACATCAGCTCCTGTAGGTACAACTAATCCATTAAACACAAGATTGGCCTCATCCATAGATCCAACAACTGCCGCTTCAGAAGCGTTAACAACCGATGAAACGACACCTACTATCGAAGAAATATATTCTAACAATACCGTACCAATCGACCAGGCTAGTGTCGTGACTGATTCAAATGAGGATTTACGTGAGACAACGGCAGCAATTGATAGAGAAGCCAGTGAAATGAGCACACGCTTTTATACTTCGGAAATACCATCGAACGAATCATCGATGATGATCGATACAACTGCCCATCATTTGAATTTAACTAATATATCGGAAGCCGTCTCATTTGGAACGATAACTATGACCAGCATAACGAAAGTTCACGAAACTTCGACTGACACTTCGAATACATCTGCACAAATACTGCGTACAATACCAACCAACACAACATTAAACGTCGAAACTTCAATTCCGGTTACCTCTGATGCAAAAAAAACAATCATCACTACATCTCAGCGAAGTAACACCCTCAATCTATTCAGATCTTGATAGCTTTACTGTATTTTCAGTGTCATTAGCAAACAAGAGCATGAATTCAACTGAAATTTTTTCTTTGAAACAGAGAACTTCAATACTAACAACAGCAAGTACGTAATAAGTCAATTTCGGCGCTTTGCACTACATTCAATTTCAGTTTTGGCTGCACAATGGAGCACCATATTAACCTCTACAACGGAAACACGTCTATCTACAGCAAACATCAATTCAACTTCGTTCTAAATAACATATTCATTCTATCTCTCGTCGTTTTCTCAAGTAAGATAACCGATGAACATGGTCAATAAATAATGTATAATGGCTGGCGATGCACCATAAAAAACGATCGTCCATTAACGCTTTTCATCAATGAAATAGATAACCACATATTAAATCAGTTTTTTTGTTCATTCAATGATCCATTTTTATAAATCATTTATGCTTCTGTGTATTCATAAATATAATGGCTATCTATTTCCTTTAATATTCTTATTGAGCAGATGTTGTCGCGAACTTGTTCATTCTTCGTTCTCACATCACAATGCCGGAAGAAGATGTGTATATACATGTGAGATGACCTTTCCGAAGAAAATATAGAGAGACACAAAAAAGGCAAAGAAACTTGAGTATCAATACACACATTAGATCTAAATTGATGGTGGGCGTCTGAAAAGAAATGAACATTCGCTCTTTTTTCTTTCAAATGACGCTAGTTAATCGATAGAAGCTTATGAAAATAGAATGAATGCACGTTACTGTTGTTGATCTTGATCCTAGAATCACAATAATTTGAAAATGTGTTCAATTGTTTGAAGAAATAGACGGGAAACTGTACAAATTCTCTGTAAGTAGATGAACACCATTTGTCTCCGCCCCCCGACTGCGCGATTAAGTACATTGACACACACACATACAAAAAGCCTTGATGCTTTTTGATTGATCGAGTTAGTTAATTGGACAAGCTAATGCAAACGTCTACTCGTTAATGTTCAAAAGGAAGAATCGCATACACATAAGGAGGNCACCGTGTATATGTCGAAACGGGCAGCGTTGATTTGAGCAACTTGAACGCAAGAAAAATTCACACACTCCAACATTTGCTTTGTCCATATTAGGAAAAGGTAGTGGCAAAGCGCCCTGTTGAGAACAGACGATTTCATCGAGATCGAAATGAATGTTCTGAACAGGTGCTATGATATCTTGCATCAACATGTTGTCTTCTGTGTTGAAATTCAAATTAAACTGGGAATGAAACGATAGCTAGTTTGCACGGTTTTTATCCTCTCATCAATGGTTCAATATTTCGACCATTCGAATCGGCAGTCGGGTGGCGCCACATGTTCAGCAAATCATCATTTGCTAGATTTCCTTTTTCTTCTTCCGAGAATTGTTGACTGATCACGCCAGTACAAGCATGTCTGAAGGTCGGAAAAAGTCTCGACGTCGTCGTTCATCCGACGATCTTCCCGAGTTAACACCAATTGAAAAATCCATTGCGAAGTACCTTCGGTTCCAATGTCCGACGAAAAAAGGCGTTCTGATGGGTATGCAAGTTGTTTATTTCACTGGATCGAAAGCAGTTGAGTGTTTAACTGAATCAAAATGGTCATCAATAAGCACAAAGGCTACAAACAACGGAAAATTCCCTATTTGTTTTTCCTCAAAACACGACGCTGTTCAAGTATGATTAGAGCGATTTCATAAACAAATCTATTCGCACAAATTGCTTATTGTCTAGATGCTTCGAAAGTTCTTGGATCACGAAATGTGTCGTCGCGTTACTAAAGTCTACAAAGATGCCAATGTCGGTTCCGAGACTAATGAAGACACATCGCAATTCAATACACCTCGTGCCATACGTCAACGCAAAAATAAACAAAAAGAGAATGCTCCCTCATCCGTTACTGAATCACCAGTGAATGATGATGAATTGAAAGAGAAACTGAAAAAGAAGAAGTTCAAATTTGAATTACACGGCGATCAAGTATTTGTCGATTCACCGAACGATTTCTTTGTCTGGACTTATTCACCGACGACGATTAAGCAATACATCATTGGTGGATTGTTAGTTATTGGCTGCATTGGTGTCTGTCTTTTTCCGCTATGGCCATCACAAGTTCGAACAGGAGTTTATTACGTATCGATTACCTTGGCGAGCTTACTCGGAGCATTACTCTCGTTGGCAGTTCTTAAATATATTATCTTTGCTTTAGTTTGGTTAGTGACTATGGGTAATATACGATTCTGGTTCTTGCCGAATTTAACAGAGGATGTGGGATTTTTTGAATCGTTTGTCCCATTGTATGTAATCAATGCTCCAACGAAAGAGAAGAAGACGAAAGAAATTTCAAATGAAAATGAACAAGCAGATGAAGAAAGAAACCTTCCTGAACAAGCTGTTGATTCAGAAGAAGAAACTAAACGACAGCGATTAGCAGATGATGGGTTTGAAGTCTTGTCAAAAGAAGAATTAGAAACAAAATAGTCGATGTTGTACATGTGTACATAAATCTGTGTGAACAATATCTTTTTATGTTGTCTAACGTATATATATATATATATATATGTATAATAATCGCACATTCGTCTCGTATTGATCGTTGTTGTACCGTTTATGATATCATACTGAACTCGTTTTTTTTTGTCAAAATTCAATAATATATCACAATGACTTTTGATGTGATTGGCCATGTATATTTTGACGAGAATGATTGTATTCAATGGTAAAAATGATATATTTACATTTTTTCTTAACGACGTATGTGATGGTGATTAAGTTTACGACACAAAATGTATATTTTCAGCCTTCGACGAACTGCGTAACTTATTTATTTTTTGTTTTTCTATATTCTATAACACGTGATTCAAACGAAAGATAGTCATTATTACCATTCTTTTTCTGTTGATAGAGTGTAAGTACAGAGTATATTCTCGCTATCCCGATTTCTTTTCTCAACCATAATATCCCAACCTTCCTTGTGCAGATTTTTTGAGCATATAAAGCATTCTGTATGATTTTACTTCGATGAAACCAAAGCGCCTGGGTGCTCCACTAACTTGTTCACTAGTGGCATCTTCCGATCGGTTACGATCCGGATTGGCCAGAAGAACAATATTGTTATTTCAGGTATCTGCCAATCGAAGCACTTGTCATATTGCATAGGTGTCTTATAATTGCATTGAATGATCTATATAGAGAACAAGCTTCGTCTTTGTATTCTAAAATAATATACGTAAGAATCAACATGGCCGCCACCGTCGTTTCTGAGTGCAGTGTATACTTTTTCGCTTATTAGTCTCATCTGTATACCTGAGTAGACACACATTTCGCTATCTCTTCCTCTCGTTATTTTAGACGAATCACACGAATCTTTATCAATCGTATTGTTTTTTCTGATTTATTACATCATGCACACTCAAGATCAATTTAGTACTATTTACGGCGCTGCTTTAAGTAAGTGTTGTAATTTCGATTGAATTGTTCTTTTTTCTTTCATGAAACATCTTATTCTAGTTCTCGGAGGTTTACTTGGTTATTTCCGTCGGGGAAGCGCCATCTCACTCTTATTTGGTATGTCGCGATCGTTTTTGAAGTAAATGTTCTATGAATTAGCTTTACAGGTGTTCTTTTCGGATCGTGGACTCTCTACAATGGAATGCATCCCACACGTCAAAATAACGTCGCTAACTTGGCTGTAAATACGAGCAAATCTAGTTTACATATTCATCTTTGTTCTTTTTTTAGATCGCCTCTGTTCTCGGTGTCATTATGCTATTACGGTTCTTAATCGGTCGTAAAGTTTTCCCAAGTCTTATTGTTTTTGGCTTATCGGCATTTCAAGTCTATCGCAACTATCCGTACCTCAAATAAGAAGCGTCAATTAGCACGAAAAACATTTATTTTTCTTTGTTTTCTTGTTTCTATACTTATTCTTGCTGGTTGTTTTGTTCTTTGTTTTGTGTGTTCTCTTCTATTCCATACGACGACGGTCAGTCTTAGATTCTTAACTATCTCTTATGTATCAACTCATTTCAGTCATACATTCATATAACCTCGTAACTTCAACAAAAATAAAACGGTTAGAATATTGTCATCTAGTGCAATTGGAAAAAAAGAAACAAATTCGATACATTTTTTGTTGATCACTTTTATTTTCTTTCTAGAATGTGCATTTGTATGTCAAGTGTTCTCTGTCCAATTTGTCACAATAGCAATTAAAAACGTCAAACAGAACAATGTCTTTCCCACCGCATATGCCGATCATACCCCCAATACCATTCCTCCCTCCCGGCGCACCTATGATGATGCCACCTAATGTAAGTCATTTTAGTCCCATTGCTAGGATTCAATTTGTATCGTTTAGATGGCAATACCACCACCTGGTATACCAACGAATGGTGCTCATAAAACAGCAGACGGCGAAAAGGTTTGCTATAGAAATCGTGTTCTAGTTTTAATATGTAGGGCTTTTTTTTGTTGTAGAAGAGTCGCCTTCAAGCGGCAACGACTGTGTTTGTTGGAAGTATATCAGACCGAGCACCTGATGCAATGATCAAACGAATGCTTCACGTAAGTGATGATGAGTGCTAAAAAGAAACAGCTCTTAAAACTTTTCGAACTCAAATATCTCATGTGTTATCGAACTGATATGTTATCTCTAGTTCAAATTTCAAACTCTATTTTCTTTTGTTAGAACTGTGGTAGCGTGGTCAATTGGAAACGTGTACAAGGTGCTAATGGTAAACTTCAAGGTAACATTTCTTGACTGATTGATTGGCTTTTCTTATTGAATAGTTCTCTTCTTTAGCATTTGGTTTTTGTGAATATGAAAATCCTGAAGGTACACTCCGTTGTATTCGTTTGCTTAACGGTTGGCTAATTCAAGATAAAAAATTAGTCGTAAGTGATTAGTAAAGAAGATTTTTTTTCGTTTCGGTCAACGACTATTAGATCCTTGTTTTCAACAAATAAACACGTGAGTGTTTTTCTATTGTGGTAGAGCTCCCGGATGTTTTCAGTCGATGATCAGTTTGTGTCCTAATTGATTTAATTTGGTTTTCAACACGAGACAGACATTGATCTGGTAACAATTTGTACACATGATTCATTAAGTGATTTTGTTCTATGAAACATCTTTTTGTTCTTAGTGTTCATTGACACACAAATCGTCATTCTTTCAGAAAAAAAATGCACAAGAGTGAGTGGTTCCTTCTATTGAGAAATGTCTTTTCTTTTTTATTCGAGATGTAATCTAGGACACATATTTATATGTTTCTTTATTGAATGAACGATGAGACGGTTTAGCATGAGATCTAATTCGGTTTGTTTTCTTTAGGTTAAAGTCGATTCGAAGACGAAGGCATTACTCGACGAATACAAAAAGAAGAAACGTCATGAACTAGCTAAACGAGCTGCGAATGATACAACGGCATTCAAATTTATCTATGAAGAAGATGACGATGACGAAGATGGAAAGAAATCGAACAGTACCGATCCAGATGGAAAAGTAAAGACAAATTTGAATGAAACTCGTTGTATACTAGATTCTTTGTTTCTTTTTGTAGAAAAAATCCGGTGAAGAAGGTGAAATCGAAGAAGAAGAAGATGACTACATCGACGATGCCACACGTCGCGAAGATCATACAATTAAGTTATCACTCGAAACGATTATGCGGGAGTATTCGCGCGAGATGAATCAACGTGCATTAGAAGCAAAAGAATTGGCTGCGCGTGAAGCAGCCGCTGCTGCTGCAGCTGGGCCTCCGATGTCACAAGCACCCGCGTTGATCGCCCCAATAGGAGATTCATCGGCAGCAAACGCTGGTTCTCCCAGCACGCGGCGCTCTGACAGTGGAGTTGGCGGCGACGACGAAGAAGGGAAACGAAGTTTGATCAATAATGAAATCCTCATGTTTCGTGATCGCTTCAAAGATGAAGATACCAAAATGCGTAACACAGAAAAAGAACGCAAAGATCGTTATGAACGTGAACGTGCATTACTACGTGAGAAACGTGCAGCTGAAGAAGCTGCTTCGAGTGGCAATCATAAATCGTCAGTTTCACCGCCGTCATCACGTGATCGTTCATCACCCAAACATGAACGTAGTGGTACAAGTCGACGTGATCGATCTTCACCTAGTGATGATCGATATCGTAGTTCATCATCACGAAGCAATACAAGTAATTCTGTACGTAATCGAACAAGTGATCGACGTAGTCCACCGTCATCGTCGCGATATGATCGTCGTTCACCACCTTCTTCATCCCGTTACAATCGTCATCGTTCTCGAACAAAGTCGCCTGTATCTAAAAGCTATCCTGGTGATGAAGACGACGAGGATATTCTAGAGAAAAAGAAAGCCGATCGACGTTTACGAGAAAAAGAAAGTCGTTATCGAGAAGTAAGTTTATCAGAAAAGACGATTTGCAAATCGAAATTTTGATGCTTGTTTTAGCGACTGAAAACCTGGGAACAACGTGAACGAAAGAAACAAAACGATTATAAAATGGAGAAACGTCGTGAACTAGCTCGATTACATGACGAAGAAAAAGAAGGCAAACGTCTATTAGCATTCTTCGAAGATTACAACGATGAAAATGACGATCCAAAATATTACAAGTTCGTTTTTTTTGTCTTTCACTTGTCGAAGTTTCATTTTTTGGGTTGTTTATTGTAGTGAATCATCGTTGGCTCGTCGTTTGAAAGATCGCGAACATGAAATCGATCTTGACAATCGTGATCGCCGTCATGAAAAAGAAGAAATCGAAGAGCTTCGTCAGAAACTATTACTTCAAGGTAATATTGACGATGTCGATGCGGAAATTAAACGACGTTTGGAAAAAGAAGAAGAATCAATCCGGAAAAGTTTAGCCGATTTAACGCGTGCAAGTGATGAATCAGGAGATGAATTAGATAACGATGAACAGCCAACCAATCATCGGAAGGATAGCAGTAATGTTGCACCTGTTGAATCAGCAAATACAAGTAGGATGTTCTTTTTCATATGAAACGAACACATTCATCATCTGTTTTAGGCACTGGAAGTATTGAACAAGCATCACGACAAGCTAGTTCCCCTCAAATGGGTGAGTGGAAGACTATCCGGTGGATATTCTGTCTTGACTATCTGTTTTGTTTTTCAGAAGCAAAAACTAGTCCTCGCCAAACATCAGCACTTGGTGGTGCACCAATCACCGGCACGAAAATACCATCAAAACGCAAGCTTGCTGTTAATGATGTAGATTTTCCGAAACGAAATCTCCTTTCTCATATCAATAATCCGATTCTATTTCAGGCTTTTCGTGATGATCAAGATGACGATAGTGCGAATACGTATCAGAAAAAATCAAAATTATCAGCGATTCCTGATCAGCAACCTGCACCAATAGCACAAAACTCTCCCAATATGAAAGACGATTCATCAAATCGCACGTCAGCTGGGAAGGCGACTGCTGTGACGCCAACAAATAATGCCAATTCTGCTCAAGCACAAGAAGAAAAACGTCAAGCTGTTCGAAAACTAATCGAAAGTATTCCAACGAAGAAAGAAGATTTGTTCACTTTTCCATTGGATTGGTCACTTCTTGATTCGGTACGTGCTTTCTATCTGTTCATTCTTTGCTTATTGAAACTATTAATTTTAGAATCTCATGGAAAAACGCATTAAGCCATGGGTTACGAAGAAAATTGTTGAATATATTGGAGAAGAGGAAGCCACTTTAACAGATTTTATTTGTTCATCCATCATGTCGAAGAAGAGTGCTGAAGCGATTCTAGCTGATATACGTGTTGTACTCGACGATGAAGCAGAAGTGTTTGTTGTGAAAATGTGGCGACTAATCGTCTATGAAATCGAAGCTAAACGACAAGGTCTCAGCAAATAATTACTGTTCTTGTCCGACTTTGTTCTCGGTGTGCTTGTGTGTGTACTCTCTTACATGTTTTTCTTTCTTCAGACAAAACAAAACCAAGAAATAGATGAATTGATTGTCATTATGTACAAATATGAAGACCCTGAAAGTTGAAAAAACTTGTCTATCTCTCTCTCTCTCTTTCTTTTTTAATAGACAAAAAAAAAGTATCTAGCAAAGAAAAATCATGATATGTGTATGTATTTGTCATTTTTCTCTTTTGCGTATGCGTGCGCGCTCTTTGTCTTTTCTCACTTTGTGTTTGTTCTTCTTCTCGTTTTGTCTGTGATTTTTCAACACATGCAAGAAAAAAGGAAGAGAAAAAAAAACGTTCAGTTCTGTTATATGATCTTCATTTGATTTATTCCAGAAGTCTTTCGATCATTAGCATAGAAATCGTACTATCTACATGTATGAATTCAATTACTTTTCTTCAATGTCCACTATCATATCGATCGAAAAACGATTGTCAATGACAGCAAGAAGTAAATCATTCGTAATCTTTGTGACACATTGAATAGCAACACTTTTCACTGAACAGTTGTGATTGATGACACGGAATTGCGTGTCTCCCTCTTTATACGTATACGATCCATTACCAGACGAAGCCCAAACAAAGACTGAATAGTTATCTGCTACATCACCATTTATTGGAATGGTGACCCATTTCATATTTGTGTCGAATGAATGAATCGTCATATGATGAACGACTTTGTCAGCTTCGTTGACGACAAAACCAATATGTGGTCCACGATAATCTGATTTTACTCGTATTGCATGAAGTTTCACAGGCTTTTTCAGTGAAAGTTTGTATCCTCGAACCCAGTTGGTTTCTCGTCCTGTAAGTGCCGATGTACCATTCGGTTTTGAAAGATCTATTGGCGTTGAACTACTTGGTGTATCATTTCTTTTGACAATCTGATCTTTCTTTTCGATATAGCCATACGTTGAAATCGTTTCGGCAAAACATTTTTGGGTTTTAGCATCAGTTTTGAATGTGTATTGCTTGATGGTACAACCTTCATCTAGTTTTTGATACTGTTCGATAAAATTCAGATGATTTTGTAATAAATTCGATTGAGATTGTAAGATTTCAATCGGATTAGACGAATCAGATACTTTACGAGCACAAGTTTCTTGAACAATCGCTAGTTTCAGATGTTCATCGATTTTCATTTGCTGTTGAGTTAAGATTCTCATTGTTTGAGTTTGTTGATTGTCTAAACTGTTCGTTAGCGTAGCTCTTCTTTCATCTAATAAACGTTGAAGATAATTAAATGCGTCATCAATGGCCCGTTTCTCGAAACGAATCATTTCATTTTGCTGCCGAATAATACGTTGGGTCTCGTCCGACAATCTAATAAGATTTTGTTTCATTTCAGCAAGTTCTCGAATAGTTGCATCAAGTTCGACTTTTCTCCCAGCAGCTGCTTCATTCATCGATAGAAGTATGTGATCTTTATGTTTCAACAACGAACAATCCCGACAAACAAGTGTTTCACACTGTGAACACCAATATCGAAATTTCTCATCAGGATGTTCCAAACAAAAAGCCATACTTTTATTTGAAGAGGGAATGATCGTATGTGACTGTAAAGCTTTGATAGAATGAACAGATTGTGTGCACGATGCACAATAATCAAACGCACATTGTTCACACCAATTCACTGCTGACGCTTTACTACAATTTTGACATAGATTAGCCGATTCTTGTTTACGCGTTTGATTGGTACTGTTCACAAAGTCAACCATGTCTTTGACTACGCGATTTAATGGTAGTGCATCGATCTCATTCTGATTGATTGTTAGGTCATCTCGAAATGGACATGCGAATCGTCCACGAGTAACTGCCTGTTGAATGCATTGATAGCAAAACGTGTGTGAACATGGAAGAATTCGTGGGTCTTTGTAATGATTTAAGCATATCGCACAATTGACTAAGATTTCTAGCTGCTCCGCATCGAAATTGTTGTTACTAGTTGCCATCTGAAAAATGAGTAAACAAAATCAAATTGCGTTGATTTAGAAGATATGATTATCAGACTGAGCTTGTAAAAACTACAATTTAAATAAGTCACTGTTTGTCAAGTTTTTTTTGTTGGAAAAATCGAATACCGTTGTTTACTTTTTTGTAATATTTTCGACGAATCGTTTACCGTTAAAACGTATAAAAAAATGACGTCAGTTTGCAGTCGACAAGGAAACAATCGAATCTGCTACTAAATATACAACTTGGAAATAACGAAGACTGATACATATACTGAACTCTACCGAAAATTTATTCTGAGTCCGTACAACAATCGCAAACGCCATCTTTTTTTTGAAAAACAACAGAACCGTAGAATAAACTTTCACCTTGCGTTGCAAGACTCACCTGCACACATCTGAGATATTTACTACAACAATTGACATACAGCACACATACGAGCTTTCGTTTATTTTGCCGCAGAAAGTATCATTCTCAACAAAAAAAAAGGAACTTCACTCTTCTACATCTATAATCATACTAATCGAATGTGTGTTGTTAATCACAGTCAATGGTGAGCCGAGAATGAGTTGATTCGCTACACTGCATAGTCTACTTTTTACTGAACAATTTTCGTTCACTTTCCGAAATTGATTATCTCCATTTTTATACGTATACGAACCATTATTTGACGGAGGTAAAACCAACACACCATAGTTATTTTTAAGCTCACATTCGACTGGAATTGTTACCCATTTCATCATACTATTGACTGAATTGATAACTCCCTTTTGAACAAGATTATTATTTTCATCGACGATAAAGCCAACGAGTTGTCCTATATGATCTGAATGTACGCGGATCGATCGAAGTTTCATCGGTTGTTTTAACAAAAGTTTATAACCTCGAGCGATATTCTGTTCTTTCGAAATCACATCAGTGCGATTATCACTGATCTTCGAGAGATCCAACGGTATAGTTTTCACAGTAACTCCATCTTTTTTCACGACATATGATTTACTTTTAATATTCCCTAAGCGTAGAATCATGTCAGCTAAGTGTTCTAAATCTTTATCATCTCGTTTGAACATGTGTCGTTGGATAATACAACCTTCATCGATTCTGTGATATTGGTCACTGAATTCTTGATAATTCTGAGCTAATGTTGATTTGAATTTTAAGATTTGAATTGGATCAGATGAATCTAACATCTTTCGAATACAAAATTCCTGAACTGTCGTCAGTTTTAAATGTTCATCGACTTTCATTTGCTGCTGGGCCAAGATTTTCATCGTCTCGACTTGTCGGTCTTCTAGTTCCTTGATCAACGCACATTTTCGTTCTTCTAACAAGCGCTGTAGATTAGCGAACAAGTGCGCGGCTTCTTGCATTTCATGACGAACTACCTCTCGTTGTCGTTCGATCGCATTTTTCATTGTTGTAGAAAACTGCATAAGATTTCGTTTCATTCCGTTCACTTCTTGCATGAGCTTTTCGAAATTCGCCGTTACTTCATCAGCTGCGTCTTTCGTCGGGAGAAACGTGTGATCTTTGTGTTTGAATAGCAAACAATCACGACATACGAGAGTATTGCATTGTGTACACCAATATTTAAACTTTTCCTCGGAATGTTCCGAGCAGAAGGAAAGGACTTTGCTGGCGAGAGGCACAATGACGTGAGATTGAAAAATTTTAATCATATGAACAGATTGAGTGCAGGTTTCGCAAAGATTTGTGCCACATTTTTCGCACCAATTCCACGCTTGCAGCTCATTACAGTTCTCACAGGGAAGGTAAGCTTTTTTATCGAGTGATGGGTTGATATGCAACACAAAATCGACCATCTCTTTCGCCGTTCGGTTTGTTGGTAAATTGTCGATATCATTTTGCTCGATTATTTGCTCATCTTGTAATGGACAAGTAAATTTGCCATCTTGCATTGACTTTTGAATGCATTTGTAGCAAAATGTATGTGAACATGGAAGAATTCGTGGGTCTTTGTAACGTTCGTGACAAATCACACAAGTGATGAGTTCTTGGAATTGATCAGTGTTTGTCATTATCGGTATTTCCATGTGAAAGTTTTGATTCGTGTTTTTATTTAGTAATCAAGGTGAAAAATAGAAAACTTCGAAATAACTTTCGTCTTATTCGTTGATCGATGCGAAAGATTTTTTTTTACTTTTCGCCTCAATCTTGTACACGTGTTACTAAACAAACTTTTATTTATTTACTCTGTTGTTCTTTCGTACAGAGATGTTTGAAATACACAGATCTATCCAGGAAAATATAACTCGAAGTTCTGTTTGTTATTCAACATCTGGCTTGAATGTCTTCAATTGCCTATGAATAACATATGAATAAAGCTTCATCCAGTATTCAACATGGCAATGATTAAATCATTTCGGGAATCACGAGATGAAACTACTTGATATTTGATTTTCTATATAAGTATTCAGATAATGTCACACCTGACATTCATCTCAATCTCATATCAAGTTGATTCATACATCATAAAAGTAGGCATGTATAAAAATCGTTTTGTTTGACAATTCTCTCTAACAAAACTACGATGAATCGAACGACGACAACTACGCGTTCAACGGCCAGTGGTCATGCTTATTACAAAATTACTCGAACGACGACCGATGCTCAAGGAAACAAGCATACCGAGACGACGGAAATGGTGGATAACGATGCAATCAAAGTAATGTTGATCACACTAGTTGTAAATCTTATTGCTTTCGTTTTTCAAGCACATGCAAGACAATGACACGCCTAATAAGAGTCGATTCGGACTTCGTGCATTAGCAAGTCCGACAAGCTGGTTTCGGTCGACAAAGCCAGCACCTAAAGGTCAAGATAACGATGAATTCATTCACGAAGCATTGCAAGTACACAATGATCTACGACGAAAACATGGAGTTGAACCGCTACGATTAAACAATGACCTATGTAAATTAGCTCAACAATGGGGTAAATGTCAAATTTTGACAACTTGAAAAAATAAGCTCGTTCTGTTTTTAGCTAATCATTTGGTCACAACTGGCGCTCTTGTACATAGCAAAACAAAATATCGAAACGAACCTGTTGGCGAGAATCTTCGTTGTCAATCATGGCCGGTGACAGGTAAATTTTCTTATTTTTCACTTCTTCGCATGTATTTATGATGTATATCTAGGCAAAGAAATGACTGAAACGTGGTACAACGAGAGCAAGAAGTATGATTATCATAATCGACAATTATATCAATCGGAAACGGGTCATTTTACCCAAGTTGTTTGGAAGAATTCCCAAGAAGTCGGTTTCGCTCAAGCACAAGGTCCATCAATGAACTTTGCCGTTGCAATGTACTATCCAGCAGGCAATTTTCTTGGTGAATATGAGAAAAATGTTTTCCCAATCAAATAAATATCCTTAAACGGAGTAACTCATGTCAATGTACTTTCTTTCACTTTATTGCAATTAATGAAATCAGCGTTTAATCAGAAAATAAATAACAAGAAAAATGAACAGAGCAAAAAGAATCAAATATAAATAAATTTTCCAACTACCCGATCGAGCTAATAAGATAACACGACGACGTGCTTGACCAATCAAACTATCTGTATGATCCATATGACTGTTCAGTTCCTACAAGAAAATTCATTTCATATGTCGAAGCATTAGCCCGACTGAGACGAAAACATACTTTCAAGTATTTATTCTGGAATTGTGTTTCTTCGCTAATTTGAACAGCTAGGTGTTTTAGTTGATTCACTTTCGAATTCAACAACTCCGTACGTGCTTCATTTTGCTCTTCGATGTACGAATAGTTCGAACGTCTCGAATGCGTATTTGATTGTCCTCCATCATGCATCTTTACCAATCACAGAACATCTGAAGTGACACTAAAAACACATGAAAATCATGTCACTCACATTTGCTGATTAATTTTTATTTAATTCCAAACAAAACGAAGAAGAATATTAAGAAAACCTCCTTCTATATGCTACTAATACAAAACTGATCGTCAAGCACACAGGAGAAAAACACTGTACATGAATAGCACGCATATATGATCACAAAAACAAAGAAAACAAAACTCCAAACAAGGAATGGCACAGTTTTACTGTTCAGAAAAGTCATCGAAGAAATAACAAAACAGTAAGGACGGATGATCACAAGAGTTTTGAGTAGAGAAATAAAAGCAGAAGAAATTTATTTGCCAAAACTACTACTAAAGAATCGACGTTCGCGCAATTTGCTTAAACTTGACGAACGCGATTTCTTTTCACTCGTTCCAGATCGATAAGATACAGACGATTGAGCCATCAGTCGATCACGCAATTGATTCAATTCCACGTGTTTAAGCTCTTTGATTTTCGACTTCAATTGATCACGATCTTTACTTGATTTGATACCCATAGCCTAGAATCGTATTCGTTTTATCAAGATGACAACAAAGCTCGTTTTACCTTCATTTTAGAACCATCGAGTACGAGAAGTTTTTCACCGTCGATGTTACGATTGAGAAATATTGGTATTAAAGGTGTCATTCTCTGTGCTGTTAACCATTGAATACATCGGTCAGTTGTCCAATCTTTGATCTCCACATACTTGAAAAGAAACAATTACAAAACTACACTTGAAACTGTTCAATTACCTCATCAGTTGAACATGCCTCAGTACCTAATCGGAAATGAAAGGAAAGAAAAGAGGGAATTGATTGAGGTGAAAGAGAAGAATAGGAGGCAATTTACTTGTTTTGTCCGCTGATGAGTCTTTAGTAATACTTGTTCTGGCACTGAAAAGAAAGTGTTACGAGATGTTTGTAGATGTTCAACAACGACAGTTTACTCGTTGAAATTCGAATCACTGGAGATTCCACCGAGTGACGGAGTCGAGACGTGCAATCCTGGAATATTCATTGTATAAGCTTTTGTCGACGGGCTCTTGTTTAACGACGCATTTCGATCGAATTGGTCCGATGATTTAGTTGTCATCGTAGCTAAGCAAAATGAAGATATAAGAGACAAATTTCGATTTCTGCCGTGTTTACCAGAACGCATTTGCCATTGATCGATGTCATTAGGTGAACGTGTTAGCATTTTTTCTAACGATAACGATGGAATACGAACGGATGATACAGTCATTGGTAAGCGATTTGTTGTTATCAGTGGCTGACCGGAACTGGAACGTGTTCGAAATGTCAAACGTTCAGACATCTCGGGCGAGTACGACGTGGGATATTCGGTAGTTTTGAGCGATGATAAATTGTTCTCAGATCTGGTTGCTGATGTCGCTATGACTTTCTCGAGGTCATCGATCTAACAGGAAAAGAAATTCGTTCACTACCTCATCTATTTATGTAAAAACAAACTTTTTGCATCAATTGATTAACACGTTGATCATGTTGTTCGGATAATTCAGTTTGTTGTCGCCGTGATTCCGTCTCGCTAAAAGAGAAAATATACTCATAGATATACCTTCACTATCAAATAGGAAACAGTTATATCGAATTGACATATATATATCTATATATAGTGAACAAAAGCGATATTTTTAGTTTTTTTTTACCAACACCTGAATACGTACACAGATTAAAATCAATTTCTTTCAAAATAAGAATGAAAACAAAGACTTCGGTGGAAGTAACAATGAGAGAATGATCTCGATACGTACCGGTCTTGTAATTCTTTGATTAGTGCCATTGCTTGAGAGTATTTTTCTTCGATTTGTTTGAAATCATTTTGTGCTTGTTGATAAAGTTGCTGAATAAACATACCGAAGTAATTGATGGGTTTCGCACTTGAACGAAATAAATGCAACTTACTCGATAATGTTCTCTTTCTTTCTCTGTCGTATCCAATGTTCTTTCTAAAGATTCATAACATTGCTTGAGAATTTCAATTTCGAACTCATTCGACATTTTCTCGTCCATCGGCTAGAGAAAGAAACAAATTCGGATTTCAGAATTTTCGTTCCAAGAATTCTACTTCTTCTTCATCGTTGAAGTTTTGTTCGTAATATGCATCGTGATATTGCTGAAATGTTTGAGAAATATCTTCGCGTTGTTGATCTAACTGTAACGAGCGTTGGATAAGAGCGAAGATTTCCGACTTCTCTGGCTCTTTCTCTCGACCGATGAGAAATCTAAATTCGATTCTTTCAAATCTCCCGAAAACGAACTCAATTTGAAACGTACTTTACTAAACCCGACGTCGTCTTGAGCACGTTCGTCGCACATGCATGTGTCACACCCACCAATGACTGTTCGTTCACTTCAATGATTTGATCACCGACTTGAATGCTAAAGCACAATTATTCAGTATACCCATCAACATTAAACAAATATTTACCGTCCATCTTTCGCAATGATGCCCTGAGGATTCAATGATTTAACAAAAATGCCTAATTTTTCTAAACCACTATCAGCACCCACACCCATGCCCAATACACTGATAATAAAAACATTCCATATCGAGTATAATCTGAATCATCGACCTTGCTCACCTTATTCCAAGTCCATCAGGTCCTTTTTCGACTTCGACTGAGAAAACATTCATCTTTTCGATTCTCTTTTCCAGTTCATATTCGGCTGCAGCTGCAAACGGATCAATATCCTCATTTCGTCGGTCATATTCACTTGGGGAATATGTCGGATAGACCTACACAACAAACCCGTAACTCTGGCGTACATATTTGCATTGAATCTTTCCATCCTACCCGAATTGGTGCATGACTGAACTTCACTCGTCCGGCTTCGTTCGATGCAATCTCATCAGGAAGCTCTGGTATGCCTGGTTTCTCATAGAAGACTGGCGATGATGATCGGTTATCAACTTGCGTATAATCAGCTTCTAAATAAGATCAAAGATCATATACAAAATATTGAAATTGGAAATGAGATTGCATGTTTGTACTACATCTTTTCATAAGCCCAAAAGGCACTTCCTTTTTTCCTTAGAATTATCTGACAGATCGACGTATTTGGCACGACCTATGACGACAGCAGATGCATAGAAGCTGTGTCATTTTTCTTTCTAGACATCAGAGATAACAGATTCTATTTTAGACCGAAGAAGAAAAACGAGATTGACAACTTGTATCTATTAGTCAGTCCACGATGAAACAAATTACTTTTGTACTTAATAATCTTTCCTAATAAAATAAAAATACCGTGTTTGCTTTTAATTTACCATGATGTGTTGGATTGTCATTTGATTGAATTAACCTATGTTTTTCGCTATCAGAAAATATTAATTTCGGCAATGATTGATCGATTTTAGTTGGCTTGACAAAAACGGTATTCAAATGATCCATTCGTTTTAATACGTTAAAAGGTACAAATCGGGTCGTCAGTTGTTCAGTAGATGGTTTTATTTCGTTTTCATCACGCTGTTGTTTTTTATATTGTTGAATGGCATCCGCTGGAAAATCATAATGTTGCTCATTATTCGAACATCGTCGATTAATGATTGCATAAGAGACATCTTCATTTCCATTTGGAACTCCATCAAATGATCGATTTGTTGATGTATTCAGCGATGATTGTTTAGAAATCTCATGGTTGCTGCGTTCTTGTCGATTAGTATTAACCATCGATTTTGTTGTTAGTTGTGAATCATTCTGATATGGTGTTGTTGCATCTAATGTTTGAAAGATTCCTTTTGTTTCCTGATAATCTGTTGTCTGATCATCTGAGTTGAATTTATTTGCCATTAATGAATGTTCGGCAAAGACGTTACGTAATCGTGTAACATGACCATTATATTTATTATTTGTATGAGAGGCCTCTGTTGGAGTATCAACGAGAAGGTTCGATGTCGAATCAGTATTGGTAAGAAGAGATGGTACTGTTGAATGCATAAGAATATTTGCCATTTATTATCTTCGGCTTAATTGTTTGTTTGGGCGGAAGGCTTGTCGCCTGCCCTAATATCTTTCTTCTATCGCCTTAACAACGGTAGCATACATCAATCAATGATAGAATATTTATTCTATCCTTGGTTTTAATGAAGATTTTGATAATAATCATTAAGAAAATCCCAAGACGAGTTGTAAGATATGTTGAAAAGAGAAAGAAAAACTGATTATCTAAAGAAACAGGCGAGAAAGAAGTTGATCTGATGTATCGAAAAAGAAAGAAAGAAATAAGAATGCAATCGCGAGCGATCGGTTTGCTGATAAGAAAGACATATAAGCAAATATTCGAAGTAAACATTGGTTAATTTAAATGAAAAATAAAATTGAAATCGCTTACAGCATTGCATACAATATAGCACTAACGTCTGAAGAGAAACAGAAACGAACGAACGAAGGAAGATTAAAATAAACACACGCCATTATTAGCTATATGAAAAAGCCAACCAAAAATCTTTCGTTTATCGTAGACCAGCCTTTGACGACATCTGCATGACCCTGTTGAAACATCTTTGTTATTTATCAGAGATTTTTTTCCCTTCAGCATGCATTCATCCCTTTTAGCTACCAAATATATTCTCTTTCATTCTTATCTCTGCATAACAAGTCTATTTTTAAGTTCTATTTATAACCTGCACTTTTAGTATTATATAGAATTATTTATCAAATAGAACGACGTGCCCAACGGACGTGCGTATGAACTAATTTTGTTGATAATCGGAATGTCGAAAAATACTTTGATTACGATTGTTAACAGTACATTGAGTTGCTGTTGAGACAAAAAAAATGACAAAATCGCATTTGACTTTTTCTCATCCCTCGTTTTGAAGTGAGCAGATATGAAGTCGAGTACTTGGACCATGAAGAAAAGTCACGCGATAATGTATGACGATCATATAAATATCATTGAAGGAGAAAAAAAAACTATCTATCTCGTCATCACTTGAAGATGTAGTAGAGATCTAAATGATGAAACACAAAAAAGCATCGCAAAGTTATTTTTAGCCTTATCTTTTTCTTCTTTTTTTCTCTTTCTTCTTCTTCTTCGTTTGCTTCTTTTTTTCTTCATTTCTATTTCTCTCGGCAAGTCGACGTTCGACTATGTCACGATAGCATACCATGGTATTATCGAAGCTTGCTGCCAGACCTCTTTTATTATCCTTATCTTAGTTTATATTTCTCTAATATTAAGCATAACGCTATCGAATTGTTATAGAAATTTTGTAAATCTAAATTCGTTGCTCAGAATAGCACAAATCTGTAAGTTCCTATCCACGATAAGAGCACGTTGAGTACATCGTCAATGTCTAACTTGTCGTCGGAACGATTAGAACCGTTGTTGATAAAAATAGCGAAAGGAAGAAGAATCCTAGTCGATGTAAAGAAAGGATATAATATGTCATTTGGAGAGAAAAATACATTCGATAAAAATAGCAATTGATGAATAGGAAGAAACAACTAGCAACATCAAATGTGATATAATACGGTTAAATAGAGAAGGAGAGAACGAGCGGCAGGTGAAGTGTTATGTAAGAATGATGAATGGAGAATATTTTCGTTCGTAAGATTTGAGAAACAGTCGAAAAAATTTGTTTCTTTTCGGTTTTTTTTCTTTCTTTAATTATTGGGTGTGTTTTTCTTCTTTTCTTTGACGCAGAATTTTATGTTCTCTTGTGACTAAAGCTATTTTTAGTTTTACTCCGTTCTTCTCTTCTCATTTTTTTTGGTCCTTTTTCTTCTTCATCTATCCATTCACCAAAAAAAGGTATATAGCAGTGTTTTGATGTTGCTGCTTATTTTTTTTTCTCTCTCTCTCTCTCATTTATGTTAATAGAAAAATGATATTACCTATACAAGAAAAAAGTTCGTGCTAACACAACAGATATTATTTACATGCATTCGAGTAGATCTATGCATATTTAATGCGAAAAACTGTTTGTTTTGCTTGCCCAAGTATAGTTCGGATTCCATTATCGAGACAGGTTACTCCTTCCTTGAGTGTACACGCAGTGAGAGTATGCAATTGAACAAATAAATAGGTTATTTCTGAGAAATTCGCTTGGAGATTATCGAATTGTCCTTGGTCGACACTTGGTTAATCTCTCTGACTTCTCTCTAATTATAGAAATATGATGACCTTTACTATTATGTTTTCAATGAAACCGTCAATCGCATGTTTTTGTTATACTTGAAGCTTAGATTTTTTTTTCTTCTTTTCTTACTTCTTCGGTTTTGCTTTTTTATTCGCCTTACATGAAGAAAAAGAATAAGACATGGTGGAGAGGAAGAAGAGAAAAACATGCACACACATTCTTCGACCAAAGCTGACTGACAGACACTAAACAAAGAGATAAAGCAAAACTAAGTGGGAGTAGCATCTGTAAAGAAGTATGAAGGGAAAGAGACAGAGAAGAAAGCATATCATTCTTTTTTTTTTCTTCTTTCCTTTTTTCTACTCATTCATTTTTTTTCTATTTGTATTTACGTCTTTCTTTTCGTTATAGAAAGTCATAAATTTCGTGTATAACTAAACTTCATGGTTGACTTTTGTCGACCATCATCATTGCCGGGCAATAATACACTAGGCTCTGGTAATTCAACAACTTCGAACACGAACTCGAATTCAAACTTGGACAAAGAGGCCAATTCGAAATATTTCCCGTCTGTATTTGTAAGTGCAAAGTTTCGAGTCCAAAACCTGAGAACAAAATTTCATATGCTTTTCGATGAGGAGAATACTGCAAGGGATTCCAATTGGAATTGCAGATACGTTCGTACAGTTTCTAATGAAATTCCAATCGAAATAAAACAAATAAATCAACATGTTGAAATTCTTGCTTTTTCTATTCATTCTTTTAGCTTCCTTATTCGCATTTGATTGATTCTGATAGACAAGACTCGCTCACAGCAGCAGCAGTAGTAGCAGCAGCGACAGCTACTGCAGCTGCCGCATCATCAGCTATGGAACAAACACGTCTCGAAGAGGAAAAACTACGTGTTCAAGCGAAAGATAAAAAAGATCAAAGTAAATAGTCGCGCTTTTGCTTACACATCTTCGTCTTCATATCAACATTCCAGGTGCCAATGCCTCGGCTGAAGTAAAAACTCATCTGAAAAGTTTCTTGCATAAAAAATTACAAAAGCAAGGCAAATTAGAGTAAGACGCAGTGCGCGAGGAGAAAATGAAAGTGGTGACTTTTGACGTTCTTGTTTAGAAATCAAGATTCCATGGAAATGCTTCGTCGATTTCAATCAGAACCAGTCCTAGCTAATCCGCGACTTGAATCGGGCAATTTCAAAATCAAATCAGATTTACGTCAAAGTATTCTCTATCGTCATAAGCAAGTTACTCCGATGTCAGATAAACGTCATCCGATCCGTTCAACAAATCTAGCTCAAAACCAGCAGCCAGCTGGTAAAACGAAACAATGGGTTTCCATCTTGCTCATTATAATCGGTTTTTTGCTTTTCTTAGTGCCAACAATTCCGTTATTACCATTTACTTCCCAATTGGCTCAAATACCCATGCCCGAACATTTATGGTTGGGCTTGCCACGTGCACTTTATGGATGTTATTCAACTGGCAATCTGGGAGAGAACGGCCACTTGAATTCTTTGACAACAACATCTCGTGAAAATCATCAGCATACAAATATTCTCGGTCCGAAACATTTCATCGTCGAAGAAGAAAATGAAGCACTGTTAGCGAAGGAATTACAAGAGGCTAAAATTCAAAGCACACATAATAGTCTAAGTTCAATGCATAGTAGTCAACCGCATTTAGTCAATTTTGAAACAAACGATTTTTGCCTTCGAAATCCAAATGTAAGAGAAAATATTTGTCGATGATTAATTCATATTTAATCAACAATTGCCTTTCTTTAGTTACTAATCGATCGACTTGCATTACATTCCAAATCATTATCCTCTCTATCAGCAATACAATCGCCGACAGAGAAGAAAGTACAAAAATGTCTCTCTGGTAGCATCAAACTCCGTTTTACTACCGGTAAAATCTTCTCTCTTCACTCTCACTTGTTTCGCACGAATCATTTTTAATTTAGGTGTCGCTTATGACGACGATACATTAAAACACGAATGTTACTGTAAACGTACAGATCTTCATTTGGAAAATCCACGCCGTCTGTTGGTTATTTACGATCGATTGAAAAAATCAAATCTATTAGACGACTGTGAAATCATTCGTGGTTATTGTGCAACGATCGATATGCTAACGGATTGTCACGAGTAAGCATCCTTTTCTCCAATTCTCATGTACGTACTTGTTTAAGAGAAAAACAAAGTCGAGTAACGTGATTCAGTACGAGATCTGCATATTTAATTGAGGTGAAATTATACGGTAGAGGACAAAAGCTTTTTTAATTAGCATACAGAACGAAAGCACAGCTAAATGTGTAACAGAATGGTAAAGTTCAAATCTAGTGATAAGAACGTTACATTTCGTAAAGATTGATTATGATTGTAGACAACAGAAAACGATGTTTTATAAGTTAATACATTTACGCTGCCAATGACATTAGCAATGTACCAAGAAACTGTAGTATTTACATGAGAATGTCAATTGACAAGGACTTAACTTTAAACAGACATGTGCGATTAGACATAGACATGATGGATTAGTTCGAAAGTATTATATATTTAACACTTGCGACTGTCAAGAGTAAAGTAGTTTTCCTGTGCAGCTCAATTTTGACTTGAGCAAAACATTTGGTTTATGTTCGTAGTCCTGGACATGTCTATCTGTTTGGTTGTGATAATCGTCAACGTAGTCAACAATCAGCAGCTATATTAGCTGAACATTTAAATTCGATCGTTCCATTACCTTGCGGTGGTTACGGTATCCATGATGATACTGATACAATCTGGAATGATGAATACACAGCGCGAGCATGCCGGTTGGCAGTTGGAAATACGATTGAATTAACGAAACATGTCGTAGATGGTAAATTGAAAAATGGTTTCGCGCTCGTACGACCACCTGGCCATCATGCTACACAAAAGCCATTGGGTTTTTGTTACTTTAATACTGTTGCTATAACAGCTAAATATCTGAAAAAACATCGAAATCTTGAACGAATTGCCATTGTTGATTGGGATATTCATCATGGTAATGGTACACAAGATTTGACTTACGATGATTCGAACATTCTCTACATATCGTTACATCGATATGATAACGGAACATACTTTCCCGGTGGTGGTCGAATAGAAGAAGTAAGATCAACTGCACTGATTGGAATATTTCTGATTGCCTTTTCTCTTTCATAGTGTGGATGTGATGATGGTTTAGGCAAAAATGTAAATATTGCCTTCTCCGGTGAACCCCAATCAGTAATGACCGATGTGGAATATCTAGCAGCATTTCGGTACGTAAAAATTCTTCGTCTCACATTATGTTCATATATTGGTTGATCCGTTTTTCATTTTTTCAGAAGTGTTGTCATGCCAATCTTAAAACAATTTCAACCTGAAATTATTCTCGTCTCCTGTGGCTTTGATGCATGCATGGGACATCCTCATCCACTCGGTGGCTACGAATTAACACCGACATGTAACGATGACTTACCTTCGGATGCGAAACAAACACTTTTTTTCTCTTTCGATTTTCAGGTTTTGCTTATATGACAAAAGAATTGATGAACTTTTCTAATGGAAAAGTCGTTTTGGTTTTAGAAGGTGGCTATGAATTAAATGCACTGGCTGAATGTGGAAAATTATGTATTGAAGCATTACTTAATCGACAAGTAACATTCTCTTCATTCTCGTAGGTTCTTTTTGAAAATTTCATTCGTTTCTATTCTGTAGATTCCAACATTCAGTAAAGAAACATTTGAAACTAAACCGAATCCATACGCTGTACGCAGTCTAAAACAGGTCATCGAAGTACAACGTATGTTACTGAGTAGTTTTTCTTTTTTGTCAGGTAATGAATCGTTATGTTTCTTCTTTCTCAAGGTGAATTTTGGCCATTACTCGATGAATACAAACATTTGGTATCGATGTCACATGGCAAGGCTACGGAGTTATGATTTTCCTAAGATTTCATCGTTCATGCATACTACGCGAGAAAATCGGTTACGTCCTGCCGTTTCTTTGCTTCATAATGATGACTATATGTCCAATAAATCTATTCCCTAGTTCATGCACTTTGTCGAGTATCTCATGGTGTTCTTTGCCGGTGATGTGTAAGACTTATTTCTTCGTGTTTTTGTGTATATGTAATAAGGCTTATTTCCTTAAAATAACTGCTAAGCAGTTAGTTTAATTTGATTTGCCTTGGAACCATAGCCATAACAAAGAATAAACTCCCTCGATGTAGCCAGATTATGTTCTTCTTCCTTTTTATTTTTCTTCAGTTTCTTTTCTTTCTTCTTTCGATGTCTATCACTGTTTGTTTGTTTTTCAAGCTGATATTTTTCTTTTTCTCTGTCTCTTTTTTGCTGGTAATATATACATATATATATATATATAAATATTTTTCTCTTGTGTTTTCGAGTTTCTCAGTATCGCTCAACTTGTTTCGTATATCATGTAATTGTGTTCTCTTCTATTTTCGCATGTGTACATGCTTAATCACAATTGCAATTTATCTATGAAATATAGATGAGTTAAGCAAATTTGAAATCAACGACTTTGGTACGTGCACTGGACGAAAGAGAGCCGAACGCGAAGATCTTTCGATAGAGAATGAAGTTTGTTTTTCAAATTTATCTGTTATTATTATTCGTAACCAGAGATGTAATGCAATATTGATCAGAATGTGACAATAAGAACAGTACTGCATTTATAAAATTACGCAGTGAAGGAAATTTTCTTTGCCGGAAAAAGAAATGACATCTTGTCATTGCTTGCATCTTACGTACATTGAAAGTACCCAGAAGAATTGAGAATATTTCCTTGATGTATATCTGGTACATTTTAAATATGAGAAATAACGTATGCATGGTATTCCTTGCCAGTGATATCGTATTGCGGTGTCCGATCTAATGAGAATGTTTCATATCGACTCGTGTTTTCTCGTCAAGAGGAGATATTTTTAGATTACTGCGATTTTAAACATTCATTGAAATCGTTTGAATTAGACAAAAACATGTCTCGCTTACGGAGACATACGATTGATTTGTTTCTGCCAGTCGGACGATCGCGTACGCGAAGAAATACAACGATAAGCGACAAAAACAATGTCGTATACAATTTCCGTTTTCATCAATGTAAGCTCGTCGTTTTCATGCATACAGGTACACGCGAACCGCATGACTATCTTTAATCAAAAAAATTTCGTTATTTAACTGTAATCACTATTTATGACAGATGTCTTATAAAATCGAATAAAAAAATGATTGATACAAATAAGTTTGACTTGCCGAACAGAAATCGTTTCAAGTATTCTGTTTATTTATCTATAATAAAAAGAAGACCATAAAATGCGATGGATTCGATCGATCTGCGTGTTTTGATTGATCACGTTAATGAATGTAAAATATATATTTAAGGTTTTTTGACAGCCGGTGGAGTGTTACTGTACGTTTGCGAAAGTCGTTTCTGTCGAATTTCCATTTGAGTTTCAATATTAAGACTTGAGCGATGTATCGGAGCGTTTGGATTACGTATAGATGAATTGCGACGAACTACTTTTGAACCTGACAAAGGCAAAAGTGGTGCATTTTTCACTAAAATGAAAATCTGATGAAGAAAAACAAAGATTTCATTGTCAAACATACTTTGATCTGTTTTGTTCTCTTCATCATCTTCTGCTTGCCACATTTTGTAACATATTCGTATCAGTTTTATGAGTGCAACAAGTAAACCTAGAGCAACTGCGACAATACCAATGCCAACTAAAATATTTGTAATTGATGAATCTTCATTTGGTCCTAGAAATGAATTGACACAATCAAGTAGATCTACTCTTCGCGTTGATTTCTGAAAATTACTTTTCGAAAATGTTTTTGTTAGATTACCAGTTCCGGTTATATTTGTCGTCTCCGTAATGTTCAATGATACGAAAACAACAGACATCACGTCGGACTCATCATCTGATGAACTCATTTTACACTTGTACTTTTAAAAACACATCGAAACGTGCGTTTTTTTAATCTTTCATTAACTACTTTTCCTCTGACAACAACAACACTATCGCCATAACGGTTGTTTTTTCTATCGATTCTACCCTTATTTTTAAGCAATACAAGAAATAACGCACAACACGACCTTCGACGTCATTCGACTTGTATTACTCATCTTGTGGAATAACAATACGTGAAAGAAAGAAAGAAGGAAAAAAACAAACGACAATGACAACGTTACGAAACAACTTCAGAATGAAGTCTATTCCTCTTTACTCACCATATGGTAGATAATCTTTTACACGTGAATAGTACGACCGATCATTCGATAGATCTGCTTGATTCACAGTAGGTTCAATGTCGATGATCAGATATGTTCCTTGAAATTTATAGGTTATTGAAGTGTTGTGAGTTATAGCTTTCGAAGAACATTGATGTTGATGTTCTACAGTGATCATGTTTCAAATGTAGCTGAGAATAATAAGTTGTATTCGAATATACAATAGTAAATATATTACTTGTCTTACCTGTAAAGAACAGCTCGAACAATGGATGATTGAATTTATGTAAATGTAAAAATAATAAATACGAAGCGAATGACTTCTTTTTAACACAAGCTGCTCTTCGTATTGGAAATATCTGTCGAATTGTAGGAAGAGGAACCGTATGAAATTGACTCGACTGGGTATTTTCAAAAAATGATTGATTGAAGAAGAATGAAAAATGAAAAGGATTTAGATTCTTAAGAAATTAGTCTGAGAAAGGTAAAACTTAGATAAACGATTATTTAACAGAAGGTGATGTAGAAATATAACACTGTTATGCACTTATTCAGGGAAACTAACATGTTTTGTCATACATAATTTCAAAATTCCCAAGTGAACATGACACTCACCACACTAAATGAGTCTCGTTTGGCTCGTATAATCCTTCCGTGGTTGATTCGACGATACACGGCACTTGACTATAATCTTTTGCTTGCAGTTTTATTCCAAATCAATATTTGCATCTCTTGAGTCAATAACGGTAAATCAATTCAAGTATTTTACAGTCGACTAGAGTGCTTTTCTTCGAATTTACGCAAAACACACTCCTATACATAATATGCAAATAATTACTGATTGATAATCGATTCTTTCACTAACGCTGCCTTGTCTGATAGAACAAGTGAAACAAGTTTCGAATGGATTCAATCGTAGAACGAACAAACACTAGCGAGAAAATCAATATTAAAAAATCGATTTTTGTTTTTACAAAGTATTCTTAGGAAATAGGAAAAACAAAGGCTAATAATACCGAGGTAGAAATCCGAGAGTATAGTATCATGTTTATCAACAAACGCAAATTTCTTAATTCAAGAATTTTCTACCGTTCATTTTCATTCTCGATTATTTATCGTATATGTAACCACTATGCCTTTATCACAACATAAGCTAGCCGTCATTTTCGGTATTTTAGCTACGGTGACAGTCACCCTAGCCATACTTTTGATTCCAGTCTATATGAGGAGTAGACGTAACAACATACCAAGCGAAACTACATTATTGGCAACTACTAGTACGAGTACTGCTGAAGTAGCTACTGATCCTCATTTAACTATTTTCAACAAGATTACCGCAGCGAATGAAATTTCCTCACTAGCGAATCTATTGACGACGAAACTAGCCGCTACGGAAAGTACATCAGTTCACGTGGGTACGACTAATCCATTAAAGACAAGATTGGTCTCGACCATAGAACCAACAACTGCCACTCCAAAAGCGTTAACAACCGGTGAAATGACAACATATATCACAGTGAACAGTCCTCATGAAACGACACCCACCATCGAAGAAATATATTCTAACAATTCCATATCAACCGACCAGACTAGTGTCGTGACTGCTTCAAATAAGGATTTACGTGAGACAACGACAGTAATTCATATAGAAGCCAGTGAAATCAGCACACATTCTCATACTTCGGAAATACCATCAAATGAATCATCGATGATGATCGACACAACTGAGCATCATTTGAATTTAACTAATGTATCGGAAGCTGTTTCATTTGGAACGATAACTATGACCAGCATAACGAAAATTCACGAAACTTCCACTGACACGTCGGACGTATCTTCACAAATACTGCGTACAATACCAACCAACACAACATTAAATATCGAAACTCCAATTCCGGCTACCTATGCTGCAGAAAAAACAATCATCACTACATCTCACCGAAGTACACCATCAGTCTATTCAGATCTTAATAACTTTACTGTATTTTCAGCGTCATTAACAAATAAGAGTGTGGATTCAACTGAAACGTTTTCTTTGAAACAGAGAACTTCAATATTAACAACAGCAAGTACGTAACAACTCAATTTCGATGCTTGGCACAATTTTCTTCATTGCACTACATTCAATTTCAGTTTTAGCTACACGATGGAGCACCATACCAACCTCTACAACGGAAACACATCTATCTACAGCAAACATCAATTCAACTTTGTTCTAAACAGCATATGCATCCTATCTCTCGTCGTTTTCTCAAGTAAGATAACCGATGAACATGGTCAATAAATAATGTATAATGGCTGATGATGTGCCATAAAAAACGATCGTCCATTAACGCTTTCCATCAATGAAATAGATAACGACATATTAAATCAGTTTTTTTGTTCATTCAATGATCCATTTTTATAAATCATTTATGCTTTTGTGTATTCATAAATATAATGGCTATCTATTTCCTTTAATATTCTTACTGAGCAGATGTTGTCGCGAACTTGTTCATTCTTCGTTCTCACATCACAATGCCGGAAGAAGATGTGTATATACATGTGAGATGACCTTTCCGAGGAAAATATAGAGAGACACAAAAAAGGCAAAGAAATTTGAGTATCAATACACACATTAGATCTAAATTGATGATGGGCGTCTGAAAAGAAATGAACACTCGCTCTTTTCTCTTTCAAATGACGCTAGTTAATCGATAGAAGCTTATGAAAATAGAATGAATGCACGTTGCTGTTGTTGATCTTGATCCTAGAATCACAATAATTTGAAAATGTGTTCAATTGTTTGAAGAAATAGACGGGAAACTGTACAAATTCTCTGTAAGTAGATGAACACCATTTGTCTCCGCCTCCCGACTGTGCGATTAAGTACATTGACACACACACACATACAAAAAGCCTTGATGCTTTTTGATTGATCGAGTTAGTTAATTGGACAAGCTAATGCAAACGTCTACTCGTTAATGTTCAAAAGGAAGAATCGCATACACATAAGGAGGTCAAACGGAAAAGGGAGAACGCTTGTGAATTTCAAAGACAAACACATGAGTTAGTTGCTCATTGGGAAAAGAGCGAAAGGCATTGTACAGATGTGTAATGACGACTGTTCGTTATTCTAATGATTATAACTTTCTCTCCCTCACTCTCATTCTTTTTTCTCACTCGTCCCATTGCCTTCGGACATAGAATAAAATGCGACTACGGCATGCATTTTTTCAATTCAGATTGAGAGAATAGAAGAAGAAAAAGGTATCCACTTGAGACTTCGACAATAGAGTCTGTTTCTGTACCTAGCAGCAGTGAGAGCTAATCAAGCAACATTCTAGATCTAATCCGTTCCTGATCACATGCATGAATAACGAATACGATTTAGAATAATCCTTTCATTCTTTTCTGTCCCTAGTTCTTTCTCTACGCACATACATATATTGTCTACGATTGTTTTATTTCTTTTAATTGCAAATTGTAACTGAATTCCATCATGTTCAGAAAATTTCCAATAAAGAATGGGTAAGAGAGATATGTGTGAATGTACATGATGAGAAAAGGTCGTGAGTTGATTGTTTTTCCTTGAATTGATATGTATGTATGATTGTCTGTGTCCTACATATTAACATCTAATTGCATTCGACGATGTGCTTTGTTCATCAAGCGTGATATGTGTGTACTTGTTCGTACGTTGTGTATGTCTATTGACCATACAAACTCGTTTTTATTTTTAATCAACCAACTGAGTATCGTCATCAGAGTGGCACTCTTAACAATGAATAACGGTGAGAATGATCACTCGATTTATGTACTTGAGTAGTCTACATTGGTAGCGAGAGCCGGAATAATTCCTCGATATTTGTATAGTCTATACAGTCGGAGTAACAGCTGACTGCATTATTCCGCTCAATTCACCAGTCTCAAAGCGCAAGTTATTCGTTCAAATCATTACGTCAGTGTCATATGCTTTTTTTGCGATTATTTAATGATAAGAGGAGAGGAAAGAAAGGTTCAGCTTCCATTTTGCATTCGTTAGTAATCAGGTGCAGCGAACATCTGTGTGAATCTTTAGAAAAGAAGATAATATGTTGTTACATCATTGTATATACGTCTTTTCCTTATTCATTAGATTTCACAATTGAATGTGACACAAAACGAAGTATAATTTGCTTTTAATATCTTAAAGAGAACTAAGGAACTTTCCTGATGAATAAAATGGCATTTTCTGTTGTTTCCTCTTCTTCTTCTCCTCCTCTCTCTCTCTCTCTCTCTCTTACTCCGTACGTCTGCCTTTCTCTTTCATTGATAAAAATTCAATTTAGTTTGTTAAACATACGCATGTGCTGGTTATCATGGGAAAGCTACGAGCTGCTATTCTTTCCTAATAAAAGGTTATTCTCATAGTCATTATTAGTGCTTCTTGTTCGACATGTTCATATGCCACAAGTCATTCTCTTCCGGTTAGTTCTGAGCGTGGCTGTTATTATCCTCCCACTGTGCTTCTTAGTCATCGTTCGAATGATGATTATCGTCGACTAATTGTATATAGATGTGAACAGAGAGAAAGAAAAACAGCAGAAGGAGATTGAGCAGAGAGAAAGAGACAGAGAAAAGAGAAAATAAGCACAACCAGCGCGCCTGTTCATCAACGAGTACGACTCACAACCATCACCAACCGTGTCGGGTATTGTTCGCACGTAGGGTAAAGATTTTCTTCGTCTTCTAGTAGTCATCCCAATCGTGTCTATCTAATTATAAAGTTGAGCACGTCATCTGAACAATACCTTTCACGAAAAGGTTTGTTTATCGATTTTGAATTATAGATTGCATCTCATTAATCAAGCATAAGAAATACGCTTGTCTTTTTGATCAAATGTCATCGTCACAAATGTATAGACCGTCTTCATACATTTGATCGGTTTAACACTATGACGAGATCGAAGTGATAATCATTTTGAGATTTTATGTAAATATTTTTGATTTGATCGACAGAGACGATAGACTCGTTATTGAAACGGACGTGACTTTTGCTTGACAAGCGTTCGACCATTAATAATAACACTATATTAGTTCAATCGTGAACTATTAGGCTTTTGTACATTGAAACAATAGACACTTACTGTTATTACCCTGCTTGATAAATGCATATATAGATTTGTTCTTGTTTCATGTTTCCTAATTAAAGCATCGTTGTTTTATTGCCGAACATCGAGCAATCTTTCTTTTGATCTAGTTTGTCGAGAGATTGAGAGAGAGAGAAGATGAAGCGACTTAACCCTCGAGCAATTGAGTACGGACATGTATGTTGCGCAGTCGTGTTATGTTATCACATTAAGACATTATGCAAGTACATCATCTTTGCGTTACTAGTAGTGCTGCAATCGAAGATGAATTTCTTATGTTTACTGACCATTGCAAATCATTTTATACAACCTTTATCATATTTTCAGATATATTGCCGATGATTAGAAACATGTTCAAAGTATTCATATACGCTGTAGTATTGATCCAAGCAATTTATTCACTGGAATTAAGTAAGATTATGACAAGATTTTGTATTTGAAATGTATCATTTTGTCATAGAGAAACTATCAACATGCCAAACGGCATTGGGAATGCAGTCGGGCTCTATTCCTGATTCGGCTATTTCAGCATCGAGTAGCTACGATGTAAACACCGTTGGACCAAAGGCTAGTCGGTAGGTAGCTGTTGTTTTCCTGAATAGATCCGTTCAATAGATTATTTTTCAGAGCTCGAACTGAACAGTATGGCGGTGCATGGTGTCCAATGAATCAAGTAACATCTATATCAAGCGAATGGTTAGAAATCGATTTCGAAAATTTAACCTATTTGACACAAGTTGAAACACAAGGCCGGTTTAATAACGGTCAAGGAAGAGAATATGCTGATTATTATATTTTAATGTACACGCGAATGGATAGTATAAAAAATGAGGAAATAGTTTGGATTGAATATAAACCTAGACGTGAACAGAAGAATTCAACATGGATACGCGCCAATCAAAACACTTATATGGGAGAAATTCGACAGCTAGGTAAACACTTCTTTCAATTACGATATTTGCGATTATAAAACTGTTTATTCAGATCCGCCAATTGTAGCCAAACGCCTTCGTTTTTATCCTGTTAGTGAACAAAGTCGAACTGTATGCATGCGTGTTGAAGTGTAAGCTAAACACACCTCGATGTTACCTTTCCATCGCGTTTTTCCCATGAATTTTAGTTATGGTTGTTTATTTTCTGATGGTATCGTTTCATACGCTATGCCACAAGGCCGCACAGATGTGAATTCGTTTGGTGATGATACTTATGATGGAAAATATCTTCGTTCGAAGAAAATGTTAATCAATGGTCTCGGTAAATTATCGGACGGTATCACTGGTACCGAGGACATATCGGTGATTGATGGTCGTCAACCTTGGATTGGTTGGTCGAATGACACAACAAGTAATTTCATTCGAATCAAATTTCAATTCGATGCCGTTCGACAAATCAATCGCATGACAATCCATACGAATAATTTATTTTCGAAGGAAATCTTGATATTTCGAAAGGCTATTGTGTCGTTCTCGATTGACAATGAAGAGAAAACTTATTCAAATTCAGTTATTTATCAGCATAATCGTGATGATATATTCGAAATCGCTCGTCCGATCTTAATTGAATTGAATAATCAAATTGGTAGATTTGTTCGATTAGATTTATATTTTGATTCCAAATGGTTACTGATTAGTGAAATTACATTCGATTCACAGATTTATGATCCAAAAAGCGAAAAGAAGGCTGACTTGAGACAACAATCTCTGCCAAAAGTGCTTACCATCGGCAAAGACTTGCATAAATATCAAGGAAATACCCAACAAACGAGAATAGCATCTACGGCAACACCGATCAATTCGAAAATGAATATTCCAACAGTCATCACTGTTGAATTGTACTTAGCATTTCTGACCGGTGCACTAATTTCTATTGGTCTTTTACTATTTGTTTCATTACTATGGATTATTCGACGAAAGAGAAAACTACGATTTCAAAAGTAAAACAGCAGTCTTACATCCTCATGTCGTTCATTGTCTATTGTTTAGATTGACGGAAAAGCCAGGTAGTAATTCATCATGTTATACCTATCCGACATTACCTGTTCGTGAATTTTACGATTTGAACGCACCGATTACAAATTCTGGGGATGACCGTGACTATGCAGTACCCGA